GAACCATCAAAAATTGCCCATTTTTGTCGATAATAATCGGAAAGGTGGAAATCAACGGTTTATATCGGCTCTGTAGAAAAGGACTCACCAGAATGTTGTTGATGATGATGATGGTGGTGGTGATGATGATGAGGTTATTGGTTTCTTGTGCATTTTACGTTCAGCGCCTTACCCAAGCGGAGGAGGGGAGGGTAGAAAAGCGAAGAGTGGCGGATTACGAGAAGAAGGTAAAGGGGGCCAATTATGAAACACTGGAGCTGTAGATAGTAAAGAACGAGCAGCAAGACCGGCGAGTAGCCTTCACTTGGCTACAGAGAGTCTGCTTGAAGCCCGTTAATTCGGAAATAGTATAGGCTTACTGGACTTGTTCTTTCTTGCTTTTGGAACTAGTCTATACTGTATATGAGTGTGAGAGTTAGAAACTGGAATTGTACAGATTTACACCAAAGAGGTCAGGGGAGGAGGGGCGTATGGGCAGAGGGCGGAAATAGATAAAGCAACATTGCTCCTACTTCTGGCGTCAAGCCAGTCCTGCAAATGGAGGTCTTGTTGTCCTGCTGCCTCGAGAAGGGAGAGGAGTCATATGCTGAGGTTGGTAAGGTTGGAGCACTTTTTATGAGTGCGGCGTTTTCGCGCTGGCACCGATCGGATAATCTGGAAACTGCCCTCCAACTCGCTCTCCTGCATCGAGGCGAGCTGTGCCTCGGTGATCTGACTCGGGCCTGGTCTACCCGAGGGGTGAGTGTCGAGGCTGCGTGACAGGCAGAAGACAGCGGCGGCGTTGTCAAATTCGCCGCAATAGTTGGGCGCCGAGAAGACGGTGACCAGAGACCGGTTAGCGTAAAACTCGTAGCCGTCCTCGATGACCTGATGCGCTCGAACAATCAAGTCGAGACTGTACCGCTCCAGAAACTGGTCGACAATGTTGGGACCAAACATGTAAGAGACGCCGCGCTCACTCGCCTGCCAACCGGCCGGCTCCTGACCATCGGAACTGGCCTCGAGGTACCAAGGATCGGACCAGAGAAGGTCGCACAATAAGCCACTGTCAGGCACGTCGCAGGGTCGTGAGACGCCACGTATCTTCCGCTTCAGATCGGCCAGTGTCTGCAAATCGTGCGTGAACAACTCAGGCGACAGGCCGCCATGGCAACAGAAGATCTGGTTCTCGATGATTGCTGCCAGCGGCATGCAGTTGAAGGTGTCGATGAAAGTGCGCCAAAGACGGATGGAGAAGCGACGCTTGCACTCGTCGTAGAAACCGTAGATGCGCGTGATTGAGCCGCTCTCATGGTTGCCGCGCAACAAGAAGAGCCGATTTGGATATTTGAGTTTGTAACAGAAGAGCAGAGCAATCGTCTCCAGACTGTGCCGGCCCCGATCGACGTAATCGCCCAAAAACAGGTAGTTCGTCTTCTCCGGCTTGCCGCACAGCTCGAACAGATGCAGCAGATCCGTGAATTGACCGTGGATGTCGCCACAGATCTTCAACGGCCCCTTCAGGTCGACCAGCGTCGGTTGATGCAGAAAAAGCGACCGGCAGTTGAAGCAGATCTTCAACATCTCATCTTCCGTCAGCATGTTGTGTCTGCCAGCCTTTTCGCGGGTCATCCAGAGCCGGTTGATGAAGCTGAGCAACTCCTCGTCGGCGTCGTTCTCCGACCGGCTGAACTCGATATTCGACTCGTTGCGACCCAGTCGATGGTATTCAGTCGACTCGGACGCCTCGGACGCCGCGGGCATTGCGGACAGAGCCGGGCGTGGCCGGGGGCAGTTGAGGTGCATCAGGGCGAGAGGGCCCGGCGGCTTCACGCCTCCATCGGCCGAAATGCACCGGGAGCCCGTGGCGAACCGGACGTCGTGCGACAAGCCGAGGAGAGCGCCAGTCTGGCCGGGACGAGCCACGTGAGCATTCTGAGGCCAGCTCAGGCGGTCGGACGTCTCGTTCAAAAGCGGTCGTATCGATCCCTTCCTGCCTCGTCTCGTGTCGTCTCGTCGTGCTTAGGCCTGGCCCGGCCCGGCCGCCGAATACGCGCGTGCCCCTCGGCCCGGCCGGATCAGTTGGGCCGCCGGCGCGGTCGGACAAGTCGGACAAATGTCGCCTCCGCCCGCGACGGCACGACAGTCTGCGGTTGAGTCGAGGCCCTGGGCCGACCGCTTCTGCCCGGACGCCAAGACATCGCGATTGGCCTGCTCCTCCCTCCCGACGACGCTGTGGATATAAACGATGGTCAGGTGAGCCAATTTTGAGTCAACACCACCACCACCACCAACAACAACAACCTCTCCTACACGCCGTCCAACGGGCGTCGTTTGTTTGTCCACAAACACTTCACTCCGGTTGTCGCTACTCCTCTATCTGTTGTCAGGGCAACCTGCAATAACCGAAGCAGTGCTGTGTCGTCGGCCCATATTGAGATTCGAGGCTCGGCCCTCTATCTGGTCGCCCTGACAACGAGGCCAGTAGTCACGTGGGTGTGTAAAGTCGTGAGTGGAGAAAAAGAGGAAAAAGATGCGATAAGAGAAAAAAGCGACATTCGACTAAGCCCCAACCAAATTGGCCCGGTTCTAATGATGCGGGCTAACGGAACTGGTAATCTGGTCGTCTCGAAGACGAATAACCTAGATGCCTACTCATAACGGATATAAGCAACCAAATCGACGATGCCGGCTGATTTAGAGTTGTCCGGACGAAAAAGAGCCGGCCGTTGAAGACGCCCTCATGGATTTATTGGGAGTCGACTATTCATTTCGAAGGATGAGTTGGTTGCAAAGACTCGCCGAGATCAGAAGGAGAATTTCCTTTGAGGTGAGGTTGTCGGATCTGGCGAAACGGCGACGAGTTAGTCTTCAAGGCTCTCATGTTCACTCTAACAGTCCGCTCAAGTCATTTACATTAGTCCCATTGGTATTCCGGTTGTCCGGTTGTCCGGTTGTCTGGTGGTTGTACGACTATCTGGCTGTTTGGCTATTTGACTGTCATATTTTCCGGTTACTTGTTTGGTTGACTGTCTGATTGTACTGTTGTTTGATACAGGAATACCTCTCTTTCCGTTTGAGAAGGCGCCACACCGGCTACCGCAAGAGGGTTGCCTTGAACTTGGTAGGAAGAATTATAGGAACGCACCTTGTCCTGAGTCCATTGTATGCATAATTATTTTCAAAGTCGGACCGTGGGCGCGGTACATTCCCAGACGTTTCGCCGGCATCGTCAGTGAGTCTCGCCATTCGTAGTACCATATTTCAACTCGTCAAAGCGACATTTAATTAGGCAAGTAAAATATTGTGACAGTCAAGGCGTGATTGGAGGATATAGGAAATGTGAATAGGCCATGGCAGAATGGGAGATACCATAACTGTTTAGCAAACGTTTGGTCAAAGGATCGGCTTCACTTGTCTCTTTGACGAATTGTAATATGGTGCTACGAATGGTAAAACTCATTGACGATGCCGACAAAACGTCTGGGAATGTACCGAGCCCATGGTCCGACTGGAAATAATTATGCATACAATGGGCTCAGGACAAGGTGCGTTTCTATCAGTCTTCCTACCAATATGACCAAGTTGCGAAAACAAGGTCAAACAA